CACATCTTTCTAATCCAGTCATCTACTTTTGGGCATTTGGGCTGCTTCCATGTTTTTCCAATTGTAAATAAAGCAGCAATAAACATGGGGATTAACTCCCTATTTTTAAAAGAATATATTGAAATATCTACATCCCTCCCTTTGGGATGAAAGTCGCAGTCTGAAAATGAAGCTGGAGTGGGCACTGGCTAGCTGGGTGCCCTTGCCTGCACCCTCTCCTCGTGGTGCCAGGGTGCTCTCAGTGGGGCCTCCCAGGTGGACATCTCTGAGTTTTAGTTTCTCCAAAAATCCCCAAAAATGCCTGGGGGAGAGAAGGGGTCCTGGATGTCCTGGCAATATTGCGGGACCCAGTGAGGAGCCGGCTGAGCAGGATCATCTCGGAGTGGCCCGGAGGCTGTTGCTCAGCAGAGATCTCATTGCCTGGGAAGTCGGTCACCTGCCCACCAGGATTCCTGGAGTCCGGGACCCTCAAGGACCGTGACCACCAGAAAGCGAACCTCCCTGGGAGCTGAGTGATTCCTGAGGTGGGGAAGGGCTGACTCCGCCAGCCCAAGCGGAATCCTCACTCTGCCCAGCTTCCCCCAGATGCCCAAAAAGTGGGGTTTAGGTCATTGGCACAAAACCACAGCACCCTCCATGACCCCTATTGACCACTGTTTGCAGATGCACAAAAGAGAAACACAAAACAGACAGCCTTGAGCAAGCACAGAAAAATTACCCCACACAATGGGATCGAGAAATTGAGGGTGAAACACAGAAATCCAAGATGTCTTCCATTATAGGGGTTTCTCAGTCAGGTGGACTTGAAGGGAAAGGGAGTCCCTCTCCCCCCCCCCACTTTATTTTTTTAATGTGTCAAGGAATGATAATTCGGGCACAAAAGGAATTTGCTGAAACTTTCAAAAAATGAATTGGAAAGGGCCATGGTCATTCATGAGATCTTACTATGAATGTAGAGGTTTAAGCAGAAAAAAATCATTCCAGGAAATGCTAGAGTTCAAGCCGGAGAAGCAGGGAGTCAAGCCCTCAGAGGTGGGGTGTTCCTGCAGGAACAGAGGAATGAGGGCAGAAAAACGATCGTAGACACCAGAGGAAAAGCTCAAATCTGTGGGGTGAAAGACTCACCAGCTCTTGCAGCGAGGAAATGAGGATGGATTCATAGGCACATCCTGGCAGCTACGCATAATAAAAATGCTTTTTTAAGCCTCTGCAGAGGATTAAATAACCTGCAAAAGCAAGAAAAACATGGGGAGTATTGACTGACAATAATGGAGAATCAAGCCAGCGAAGCAGCATCGACAGAGAGAAGGCCCGCTCTGGCATCGGGATGGCCGGGATGTTCAGTCTGCGTTAAAAATGCATTTTAGATGGGAAAGGGTTAAAAGAATACCCAAGCTGTGATATTTATTTGCGATAACTACGCCAAAGTATGCTAATCATAAGTATATCACAACCCATAGGGCTAGATAAGAGGAGGAGAAAGGAACAGAGAGGTGGTTATTGAATATAAACGATAACAAAAATTTCCAATAAGGGTCCTGGAGAAAAAAGAAACAATTACGATTCTGAAGCTGTTGCTCAGCACATGAGTGATTTTCGCTAAGGCGGGATTTAGGAGGAGCAGTGACGCTGGAAAGTGGGGTGAAGGAGGGGCACAGAGGAGCTTGTATGCAGGCAGCGAGTGGGAGGTGAGCAAGTAGGCTTGTTTGAAAGAGGAGCTCACTCTCTCATGCAGCAGTCAAAAGGAATAGGTTGATTTGCAATAGCATAAATTAAACTGGGAGATTAGAAAAGCAGGGGAAAATATTCAAATCAACAAAAGGCTAGAGAAACGAATAATTTGAGCAAACCATGATCTATAAAAAATGAAGGGTATTTTCAAGGTCAGAAGTGAGGTGGAAGGAAGCAGTAATGGCTGGAAGCGGGAGCTGCCCTGAGGGGACCCGAAAACCCTTGGCAGCTGCAGCTGCAAACACCCCCCACCAGGAGAGAAGAGTTGGCTGTGCAGAAAGAAGAACTGGGGCCTCCCTCCTGCCTTGCCAAAAGGCAATGATTTACCAGAACATTTGAAAGCATCTTTCTTAATCTTTTCTGATGCTTAAGACACACAGTGAGGCTAGACTTGAGAATCCATCTGTAGTTGGAAGGCCCAGAATGTACAGACTGACTGACTGACAGCTGTTGTCTTATCTGGCAAGTGGCCACGTGCCCAGCCAACGTTCCTGCTGTTGGCAGCCTGCAAGGAAGAAGCACCCTTCAGCGAATCAGTAGGGAAATGTTGAATGCAGCCAACAGTCAATACTCAGGGGATTTATGCAGCTGATATAAGGTGCAGACAGGGTTGATAGCTCTGAGCCTGGAGGTTGTGCATCAGCGTTAGAGAAAATTGAGGGCGGCATCCCATCACTGGCAAGCCCCGTTGATGTGATGTATGTGAAAGGCCATGGAGAGGAGGGATAACATGAGTCACCTGAGAAAGGTGGGCGAGCGAGGGATTGTATTAATCTCTGGTATCTGGAATTAGCTCACAATTAAAATGTATTGTTCTTTTATACTTAAAAGGGGACATGAAAATTTAAATGAAGAAGGAAGCTGGGTCTAAGGTGTGCTGGATTGAGAAGTAATATTAATTCCTCCTCACAACTAAATTAACCATCCTCGCTGCTTTTAGGTGCCATTCCTAAAAATGTTATCATTGCAACTCCAGTTTTCGGCACACTCTCCAAAGGTGAGAGGAAGTAAATGCCTCCAGAAACTCCCCGTGGGCCTGAAATTGAGAAGCAAGTTGCTCTCTGTCCTTCCCTTTTAATAAGGCACTTGGTGTCTTCCCCAAGAGAGATGTTCTGATGTCAGCACTGACTCTTGAGCACTTTCTTTAAAATTAATCAGACATTGTACGTTTTAATTCCAGTTGCAGCTTTCTTTGTGAAGGGACTGTCCATGCCCACAGAACAAATGTAGGAAAGATAACATGCAGTGGTTAAATGTTCATGTGCACTGACAGAGTCATAGATTTAATATGATCAAGGAGCTGAGGTAGCTTATTAATAATATTGATCATTAGTTCCCTTAATGCAGACATGTAATGTTAATATAGATTAATGTATGCCTGAATAGACACACCAGTTTCCTTGCTTATGTTGCCCAAAGCTGATTAATACTTAAACTTTTAAAATTTAGTTTAATTATGGTTCGTAATGTGCAAGTTGCTTTATAAGATGGGATGTACTGTAGAAATGTTCTCTTTTAAAAATACAAATCACGGCCCTCCCTGGTGGCGCAGCGGGTTAAAGCACAGCACTGAGAATCTAAAGCCGCTTCCTCTTGAGTTCGATCCCCACCGGCCCCGGAGGTGACCACATGGCGCGGCAGACCTCTCCTGACCCGCCCGCTGCTCCCCTCAGCAGTGTACTTCGTTGATCTGCCTGTTCTGTTCCCCGCTCTGTCTCTGGTGAAGCCTCTCGCTGCCCCTGAGCCTCTGGCCTGTACCCCAGCTCTGTATGCACAAATAAAATAAAATCTTTAAAAAAAAAAATACAAATCAGGCAAAAAGTCATCCTGTGTCTATAACAACTTCTACAGTAATTCTATAAGAAATGATGACGTGCAGATAATAACAAGTAGTAGATAGCAAAGACATGATACCACCCACAGGTGTCTAACATTTTCATCTCCGTTTTTCTGATTGCTTAAGATGTATCTGGTTGGCTGTGTTCTAGTTGGCATGTTTGAAAATTGGCTTTTTATGGAAAGTCATTCTAGGTCCTTGGGGGTGCCTCGTGCTGTGTAACAGTGGCTGAAATCCATCCACCAGCAAACATGAAATTCTGTGAAATAAATCATAGTCTCAGCTGCCCACGTGGCTGCCTCTCTCTTCCCCCAGGTGGCTTTCACAGTGCTGTTTGATCTGGAGGCTCTCCTGAAGATATGGTGCCTGGGCTTCACGGGGTACATCAGCTCTTCTCTCCACAAATTCGAGCTTCTACTCGTAATCGGAACAACTCTTCACGTGTATCCAGACCTCTATCACTCTCAGTTCACATACTTTCAGGTAAAATGAACAATGCCTATTTTTCCTTAGAGTGTCTTTCTTTCCAGAGAAAATCCCAGGTATGTTATAACAACTATCTGCAACTATATGTAATAGTAATATATGTTTATTATATAGTAAATGCAAACACACTACACTCAGTGGCATCTTGAGCAGTGCATTCATAAACGGTGGCCTTGTATTTTTTTTTAAAGATTTTTTTTTTTGTACATACAGAACTGGGGTACAGGCCAGAGGCTCAGGGGTGGTGAGAGGCTTCACCAGAGACAGAGCGAGGAGCAGAACAGGCAGATCGACGAAGTACACTGCTGAGGGGAGCAGCGGGCGGGTCAGGAGAGGTCTGCCGCGCCACGTGGTTACCTCCGGGGCCGGTGGGGATCGAACTCTTGCAGAAGTGGCTTTAGCTTCTCAGTGCTGCGCTTTAACCTGCTGCGCCACCAGGGAGGGCCACGGTGGCCTTGTTTTTAAAGCTCCTGAAAGTTGACAGGAATAAGTGGAAATGCTCCTACAAATAGTTCATGGATTAGCAGGATTTTTGCAGATTTCCCCCTGGGGGCCCGACAGCGCTGCACAGATCGGCTCTTCCGGGGCCCCAGGGGGCCCTTGTTGGGTCTCGTGGGTCTCCTCTCACAGGATCCGCCTTCATCGTGCTGGCGGCGAGTCTTCCTTAAGGGATTTTATATTTTTCATTTAAATGTACTTGACCACTCGGTACAAAATGGCCCCTGTTATAAGATCAGTTTTCTCAGGAACTAATAATTGTTATTATTTACCTATTCATTGAAATATCCGCCAAACCCACTGTGTGCAGGTGGTGCTCTGCCCCTGAGGACAGAGAAGGGATCCTCACCAGAGTAGTCTTAAAATCTAGAGGGCAAACGTCCACAGAAACCATGGAGGGCAAGTCTCAGAAACGCCACCTGCAGAGACAAGTGGACTGAAAGGCTAGAGACCGGGGTGGGAAGTTATTACAGAGAAGCGTCTACCAGACTTTTCTGCAGAGGGGACACTGAGCAGAGGTTGGGTGAAGTGAAGGAGCCAGCGATGGGACAGCCCTGGGCGTGCTTTCTGAGTAGAGAGGACCACAGCTCAAGAATATTGACTTGCCCAATACTCTTTAGTATATTTACAGATTTTTCCAGCCACCCAGCTTGATGAGCTCAAGAACAGCATGAAGGAGGCACCTCTGGGCTGCTGTGAAAGGGGCCAGCATTGTCCTAGGGAAGCCGGTCAGAGTCATGCAAGACGTGCCTCTGACACACTCAGAGAAGCAGGGCGACATGGGCCGGCTGGTTAATGTGCACGTGCTGTGTGCCAGACACGGTGCTGGGCTCATTGTCTCGTTCTTTCTTGTGGAGGTCCTGTGAGCTGGAGGACACACGTACAAACAGGTTCTAAGCGGGTGGATAACTTGGCGGTGATCACCTAGCTAACAAAGGGTGGGAACTCGTTCCTAAGAGGTTTCATTTTATACCTCACACGATTTCTATAAAATCTCACTTCTAATGTCCAGTGATGTTTAAGAGACAGACTTAGTAAAGTGACTGCAAAAACGTGCTTTGGAAATAGCCTCACAATGTTCCCCAGGACTTATTGTAAGAGTTTGGTTCACTTTATTTCATGTTCATAAGGAGACAAAACACCGTTTTTGAGGCAGACAGTGAAAAGCACACTTACTCCCAGATAAATGGAACAGCGTAATTAGAGTCACTGATAAGATTTTACTGCCCAGGAATCAGACTTACCTCCTGGAAATGCTAATTGACTCCCCAATGTGAGAGTTAGTTTTGTTTCTTTCCACTAATAAATTATGAATTTGTCAAAATTGCAGAGATGTGCATAGGCTGTTTTTATTAGATTTTAGGATAGATGCAAAATTACTTAGGCAAGCTTTCAAAAATATTTTAATACAAGTGGGGAAAATACCCAGAACTGAAATCTGAGCTATTAATTGTTCCTATAAACTTGCCTGAATTAGAGACAGAATCATTTATTCCTGAGAATAAAAAAAAAAAAATCTGGTAAAAATGTGAGATCTACTGTTTTGGATATTAATATGAATGTCAGTATTTTCATAGCTCTTATCGTAAAGCTGTTTGCCTGGTATTTAGAAAAATGATCTCAGTGTAAGATGTTCTGATTTGGGAATGTTAAGAATCACCACAGGAAAAATTGTTCGCTTAACTGTGCACGTGTTCACTTGCTTACTTTGAGTAACTTGATTCCTCACGTAAATTTTCTTCTTTAAGGAATTTGTTTGGGGCTTTAAGTAAACATGAAGGAATAAATATTTTTTAACTTTCCTCTGTGGGCAACAGGTATTTATAACCATCATTATTTCCTGTGAATTCAAAGTCTAGGCTGGGACCAAGGAAATGTAGCAAAATTCAGGGTCTAAAGTGACATCACTGGGCTCAGGTTTGTTCTCCACTCACCTTTCTTGTGGGTTGGTGTCATTTATAAACTAGATTTCACCATGTGGTGGCAAAGATGGCTCCCAGAAGCTCTGGCATATGTGAATTTTATATAATGTCAACTGGGAATGAAAAATAGAATACATCTTCTGAATCCCAGAAGTTCTGAAGATAATCTACTTCATCACCCTGGTCAGGACTGGGGTCAGGGGTGTCAGGAAGTCCCACCTGCACCTCATAGAATGATATACCAAATGCAGGAAGATTTGAGGGCGAGGGACTGAAAAAGAAAAATCCAAACCTTGTATGCATGTACATGTTAAAATCTAGGATTTGGAAGCATTTCCTTTACTGTATTCAAAACAGACTGTCGTCTGTCTCTCCAAAGAAGCCTCCATGGACACCTTAAGCTGAGTGGTGTTGAGCTGTTTTGGACTGACAGTCAACTTACGATGGTATTTAATGCCAAGATCGTCAGAAAATTGATGGCATCAAAACAGCTATAAAAAGTGCTGTTTTTCCATGCTTGCATGGCAGCTGTGAAGGACACAGTGATTTGTATTTGTAATCATGAAGTAGGCCCTAAAGAGCTGTGTCTTTGTACGCTACACCGTTCATAATAAGAACGATTCAATCCTATTTGTCCATCACAGCGTTCAGCATATAATCATAAGTATTCGTTGAGTGAATAAGCAAATGAAGTTGTTGGTTAGTAGTGGGCGAAGGTAGTGAGTGCATCCATATCCAGAGTCTTTGAATGTGTATGTGTATATGATTGTGGCTGTGTGTTTGTGGTTGTGTGTGTAAGCAGAGAGAACAGTGATGTAAAAATACAGGGCCGGCCCTCCCTGGTGGCGCAGCGGGTTAAAGCACAGCACTAAGAAGTCAAAGCTACTTCCACATGAGTTCGATCCCCGCCTGCCCCGGAGGTGACTACATGGCGCGGCAGACCTCTCCTGACCCGCCCGCTGCTCCCCTCAGCAGTGGACTTCGTCGATCTGCCTGTTCTGCTCCCCCTCCCCGCTCTGTCTCTGGTGAATCCTCTCACCCTCCACATCTCTGGCCTGTACCCCAGTTCTGTGTGAATAAATAAATAAATCTTTAAAAAATAAAAAAATACAGGGCCTACTAAGATAGGCCTCGGGGTGTCCGGGGAAGGTAGGTAGGCTGCTCCCACCTCCATAATTCTCAGGAGTTCTATTGGCTGGATTGACTCTGTCTTCAGGGACACAGGGTTTGTTTCTGCTCCAGAGGGGCTACTCCGGGAGTTTCCCTTTTCTAGACAGAAGCAGGTGCAAAAAGAGTGTGCAGGGCAAATTTATTTTATTTTATTTATTTCATTTGCACCACAAGTGCAAAACCCTTCATCTCCCCGGCGTCTACATTTAGCTCACAGGTCCCTAGACTACAAATAGGGCCAGAAAACACAACATGTAGCCCTGGTAAGCCCTGCTGGGCTGCCACTCAGGAAGGTCTGTCCCTTAAGGGAAGGAGAGAATGGCCGGTAAGCCAGCAGCCTCAGCCATGAGAAGGCTCCTCCCTAGAAGGCCTTTAAAATAGGTTGATGGACGTCCTGTCATTCCCAGGAAGATTAATTTTAGGAGACAGTAAATATAGTGCATATCGATTTAACTGTTTTCATGAATATTTCAAGAAGAGAAAAATACCAGTTTTATGTCAACACTGTGTATCTGTGACTTTGAATTACCCCGTGGTGTGTTCAATCACGGCGTTCCGTCATTTTATCAATGACGCTCCTTGATTTGGGGCTGACTGAGTTCTGGCGCCGTGGCAGGCTTCGCGCTGGAGAGAGATCTCAGCTATGATCTTGGTCGACTTTTGTCTGCGGGGGTGAAATGAAAACGTGTGACTCTGTAAAGTACCGTGAAAAGTGAAGTTTTAGCTGGACCACAGGCAAGGGTCAGCGCAGGCATGTGACCGAAGGCCTGTGTTTGTGCTGCTCTCCTAGGTGCTGCGGGTGGTGCGACTTATTAAGATTTCGCCAGCCTTAGAAGACTTTGTGTACAAGATATTTGGTCCTGGAAAAAAGCTCGGGAGTTTGGTTGTGTTTACCGCCAGCCTCTTGATTGTGATGTCGGCCATCAGCCTGCAGATGTTCTGCTTTGTGGAAGAACTGGACAGATTCACCACCTTCCCCAGGGTAAGAATCAAGACGCCGTGCGTGGAGCTTGCTATTCTCGTTTTGGTAATGGTGATGTGCGTCAAGGCCGTTTCACTTTCCGGTGGCTCCAGACAGTGTCACGTCCTTGATGGTGTGGACTTGGCTCCACTGAGATGTTGAAACGCCCTCTTCTGAATGCCCTTCACGCCATCCGTTGGGTCACACATTCACCCTCATGTTCTGGTAATAGTCTAGTCATCAGAGGCTGGAGCCAGTTAAGCTGCCAGGTGGGCTTCTCACACCTAGGTAGTAACCTAGCTGACTTTCAAAATGAAGTTTGCACGATTGTGCTTGGAATAGTTAATCTGCCGAAGTCTGCTTCACTGTCCTGTGTTTTTGTGTCGGGCCTGTTCTAAGAGGAAGCTTTTGCTTTTCTATGTCATAACATATGTAAACTTCAAGTTTGAAGCCTTTAGAAGGTAGCTGGTACGTGCCTCTGTATTCTCGTTGCCGTTCACTTAGGCTAAACAGGAAATTAAGGAGCGACCAACGTGGAAACAGAAAGCATGTGGAGATGCAACCCCGAATCAGAGCAGCCTCAGGTGAACTCCGTGGGGGTTTAGAGACATGAAAAAAATGTCTAATGACCAAAAAGTAAATCTGCCTCTCTGCCTATCTGTCTCTCTTCATCGTAAGCTAATATAGTTAGGCCATAAAGTGCAATATACAAATGGCAAGAAAACGCTGGTGGTAGTAGCAGAACTTAATATATCATTTTAAAAATACATGCTGAGGGTAGAGGTGTCTGTTTTCATACCAAACAGACTGTCTGACCTGGGGTATGTTTCCACGATCTTGTGCTAAGACTGAAGATGACTTGTCATCTTCCCATACATCATTGGGGGTCCCCGGACACACATCTAGCTGGTTCCCAGTGCTGAGATATTCTCAGGTGAGGATGGATGAGGCCACAGAAGGTGATCTCGAAGCATGACAGACCTCGATAAAGGCCGGCTCAGGTCAGGCCCGTAACCCGGGAACTAGGAGGGCTTCCTGGAAGAGAAGGCTGTGCAGAACAGCCGGATGGAGCCAAAGGCAGAGCTCAGGTTGTGGACACACAAGTGCCAAAGGTCCAACAGCAGTGAGCCACTGCTTCACCCAGGACTTAAAGGACCAAGGCTGTTCTGTGGCCAGAGGAAAGCGTAGGGCTGATGAGTCGCTTTTCTGTTGGATAAAAGTGTGACAGCGTTTAAATGCCAGCGAGGCGGCAGTAAGAGGGAAAAGCATCTGAGGGGACGGGAGGAGGCCAGAGGTTGCTGAAGGTGGCCTCCAGAGCATGGCAGAAGGACCAGCTCACACGGCGTTGAGCTGGCGGCTGCCCAGGGTCCGGGCCGCACAGAGCCAGGCCTGCAGCAGGCCTGGGTCCACCAGCTCCCCAGTGTTCAGCTTCACACTGTGCTGGGTGTGGCCCCGGGATCAGTGGAGCCATCCTCTTACCCCCTGGGCAGAGGCCTCCTGCCTTTTTTTTTTTTTCTTTTCTTTTCCTTCTTTTTTTTTTTTTTTATTAAAAAGTTTATTTTTACATCATTTTTCACATTTTTTTTTTCATCTCAATTGTAATCCCCACGGGTTTCCCATCACCAAATCACCCCTGTGCCACCACCATAGTGGCCTCCTGCCTTTTAAGGGACATGGGGGCGAGTGGTAAAAAGTAGGCCACTGGGCCCCTCCATGAGGGACCTCCCACTGGGGCTGGGAGTGCAGCTATGCTCAAGGAGGCACCTGGCCCGAGCCTGAGTCACTGCCACCAGCTCCCTCCAGAGATGGGACCCCACCCCCCACCCCCATGGCTGAGCACCGAGTCAGGTGTGGGTGCCAACTTGCCCTGTGAGCCTGTTCATTGCCACCCTGCAGGGCCTCACCCTGGAGCGGCCTCCACAACAGGAAAAGCAGCTCTGCCTGCAGGGAGGTGGCCCCCAAAGGTAGTGATGCATGTACCCACCTTTTCCTGGTCTGCACCCCCTTGCCCCTCAGGGTAGATGCAAATAGCGGACTGTCCGTTTCACGCAGTAACGGGAGCCTGTGATCATCTGGGTCTCTCTCCCTAACCTTTCAACTCAGCGCAGTATCCAAGGTCACAAAGGGTCGGCCGTTGGTGTAGACATTTTCCCTCGGTTACATGTTCTTATCTGAATTCCATGTCATACCTTCATCTTAGACCATTCCTTCCAAACCCACCAATTTCAGCCCCTTTCCCAGAACTTCTTCAAGCCTGATAGTGTTTGGAGTTTAGGGAAATTGCAGGCATTGTAAGGTGACAGCACCCTCCTTCTGTACTAGCATACAGAAACACGTTAATTTCTGTAGCAGAACATCAACCTTCAGACAAATACATGAGATTCATGAAGTAAATAGCAACAGGTTTTTGTCACTAAATGAGCTACCAAAAAAACGTTAACAGAAAAGACACCACACCTTTGGGTCTTTTCACAGTCTCTGAATACTGGAGTTGTGGCTGAGGACTGGAGGCGTGCATTAAAAGCATTGCAGGTACTTCTTACCACATACATCTGATTTCATCTCCAGTATTTTTTAGCTCTATGACCCTAGACAAATTAAGCTTCCCCCCACCCCATCTAAGATATAGGTAAAAGTAGTATTTTTCTTGTAGCATTGTGTGTATTGAATAATGTACAAGACAACCCAACTCTGGACTTGGACAGCTCGAAAGGAAAATTATATCCTGCATAAAATGTTTGAAGCTGGACTAGGAGTCCCTGTTTACAGTGAACTGTTTTAGACCCACCTGACTGAGTCCTGCGGGATTCGCTTTCTTTTCCAGCTGGCTCAGCAGTCACGTAGCACCCATCTTCAGCCTGGCGATCGCTCCATAACGCCTTTTGGCACGATTACTCTGGCCACCTTAATGTAAGCCGTGAGGACGGGGGCTCATCCGTCCCTCAGCCACTGCCAGTGTTGACAGCCTGCTGGGTGAGCAGAGGACGTGGGTTCTTCCTCTCACATGAATGCAACTAAGAGTTAAATCCCTGAGAAATCATCAAATTTTAAAAGAAATGTTAAAAATATTACAGAAAGTGGGCTTTATCATCCCCAGTCGGATAAAGCACCCTCACCGGTGGGGCTGCCTGGGAGAGAATTATCAGGAAGCCGGCTAAAAATACCTGACAGGCGGTGCTCGGTTCCTGTTCAACACTCATCTGTCTCCCTGCCCTCCTCATGCGATGTCTCGCTCATTATCCAGGGCTGGGTGTTGAGGTGGGTGGATTAATGATAATATCAGCCAAAGCTCAGCACGTTGGGAGAACAAACTCTGTGATCACATGATCACAAATGTGTGATCACATTTCAGAGGAAAATGGGAACTTAGAAAAACAGCTGTTGAGTGTATCTTTACCTTGGCCCCGGCCATGTGCGTGGCCAGCTTCAGCCAACACACACACAGACCCTACGTGCGGGACTCAACGGCCAGAGGCCTCGAGGGCCCACGAGGACCGGTGATCCCATGACTGAGAGTTTACAAGGGGAGATCGGGACACAGACGCACGCAGAGCAGAGATGCAAAGACACGGGGGGAGGAGGGGGTCTGTGGCGGCATCTGGACCCAGGGGGCCCCAAGGCCCGCAGCAGGCTCTGAAGCGAGGGAGACAAGGGAGGATTCACCCGAAAGCCTTGAGAGGGAGCATGTGCTGCCACACCCCAATTTCCCTGGATCTTAACCCAAAGTGGTGGACACCCTGATAGGGGCTGCCAGCCCCCGGAGGTGCATGAGCATGAGCCCTTCTCTCTGAGACCCCCAGGTTGGGCAGCTGCTTCTCCTTGTGTCATCTTCTTATGTCAGCAGACGTGGATGCCACAGTTCTGGGTTTCATGCAAAAATGCAGAGGTAGGGGCCCTTCCTGGTGGTGCAGTGGGTTAAAGCGCTGCACTAAGAAGCTAAAGCCACTTCAGCATGAGTTCGATCCCCGCCTGCCCTGGAGGTGGCCACATGGCGTGGCAGACCTCTCCTGACCCGCCCGCTGCTCCCCTCAGCAGTGTACTAATCAGTCGGCCTGTTCTGCTCCCCACTCTCTCTGGTGAAGCTTCTCACCGCCTTGCACCTCTGGCCTGTACCCCAGTTCTGTATGCAGAAATAAGTAAGTCTTAAAAATAAATAAATAAAAATTGGAAAAAAAATATTCAGAGGAAGAAACAAGAAGCAGGTCCTCTCTGCCTGGTCTCATACTCTGGACCAAGGGCCCCTTTCTCAGCCCACCCCCTTGTGCTCCAGCCAACTTCCACTCTTGCGTTGGCATCATTGGATAAGCTGCCAAAGGAATCCTTGGCAAGATGCCGGGCATCCATGATTCTTTTAGATTAATCCTGTGGCAAGTTACGGACACCGGGAGACAACGACAAAACCCCCGATGATCGTCAGAGGCAAACCTGGGCTAGACTTTCCTGGCTCATCTCTGCCTCCAGAGCTCCTGCTGCTCTGCACTAGCATCTACAGCAGCTGGTACAAGAAGCCTCCAAGGCCAATGGTACCTGCGAAGTGGCCCACAAGGGGGCAGACCGAGGAGACTTCCGTCTGCCCCTTGCTGTCCCTGGCTCCCCCCATCCCAGGCAGCCAGCGTCGGTGCGCTCAGCCTTGGTCTCCACACCCATGGGCTGCGCCCCTCCCTTCTGCAGTACTCTCCCCTGTGTCTTGAGATCTGAGCGTCAGGAAGCCGAGTCAGGGTGTCAGACAGACAGGGAAGCCTCCAGGCAAGTCTCATGAGGTTGGGGAAAGGAAGCTGGAAGTTTCCTCTCTCGCATATTTATATTTTTTTCATGACATATTTCAGTTTGTTTCAAGATGGATGGACGGACAGACGGATGGATGGACTGACAGAATTTCGTAAAATCTGCCATCAGCAGACAGTAGCCTTCTCTTCAGGTGTGGGTCAAACAGACGCACCTTTAAATCAAAATAAGAAGAAGAAAGATGGCACCCTCTTGTGAGGTTCTGGGTGGGGCTCAGGCTGGGTTATAAGAACGAG